AGCAGCAGTACCCCGGTTTCATTCTCGCCGCGTTCATGTCGTCTCGCAAAGACGTCGTCACTTGACTAACACCGCGTCGCGACTCGCGTCGCCTGAACCCCACCACGACCACCACCACTACCGCCTACCCTGTACATCGCTTTGATTTCACGTCGTTTCGATATACGTCGTCGCGCCGTTCAGGAACGCATCCCCGACGTATACCGCCGGGGTATTACTGTACCACACGTTTTTATTTTCTTGAGCAATAAAAAGTAACAAAACCAACTTCACCCACAACTTAGTGCACAAAGCACGCGGTGTGACGTCACACAGCGCACAGAGCACGCGGTGTGACGTCACAGTGCACAGAGCATGCTGTGATGCGACCTTGCAGCGTTATGTTGTGTAAAGGCGGGGGAGGGGGGGGATACAAAGACGTAGGAGGAATGGGGCGGGGGGGACAAGATACAATCGATGTTCAACAAACTCGAAGCAAATGTTAAACACGAAACAGAATGGGGAGCAGCAGCAGCTGCAGTTCTCTATGAGTGTGTCTCTAACGCACTGTTCTCTAGCGCCCACCCCCTACCCAAGAGGAGAGGCATCACCACCTGCCCGGGCAGGTCTCCTAATTTCGGCAGCGTCAAATACCCCCCCCCCCCCCCGTCTGCTCGCCGAAGAGTGTCTGTGTCGTGTCTGTGTCGTCCAGGGATGCTCCCAGCCGTTGACGCGTTTCGTCGGCGGATCGTTTCCAAGCGGCGGCGGTGGGCCTCGAGTCGCGTGAAAAGATGTAGATTGGTGAAACTTCAGTGCAGAAGCTGGGTTCGTGGACCCGTCTGTGCGGACTAAGCCGGTGTTGATCCCCTGTATGCGGAGATTTGGGGGGTGGGGGGGGGGTTCCGGGCATCGCTGTTATATTCTCCACGAAGTGAAACGGATAATTAATGTTTATATATTTATATAATTGGGCGAAGATTCACATGCAGCAGGAGCCTTCTAAAAAAAGTATTGAGAGAAGATTTTTATGAACATGTCGATTGCGGATGTACATAGTTCAGTATTTGTATTACTGGCGAGCTTATTGGTCTGAATGTGCCTTTCATGTGTGCCTTGTAAAATGAGATGCTTATGCATTTAGTCGACTCTTTATTAATCCCAATTATCATTATTATGATCACCAGTGCTGCGTTAACCACTGGGCCATCCCTATGTAAACATAACTAGATGGTAAGGCATACATCGATTATATGTGAAAATTAGTTACTAGCAATTACAAACTAATGAAGCTAGTTGTAATTACTGTCGAAACGTCGTACTCAGATTGTAAATGTTGTGGCTTGGCTCTCCAACACACCGGCGTATAGTACACTATACACTACACTATACACTACACTATACACTACACACTAGTGCTGTACTAGTGACGAATTGGCCACGTTCTGTTCACGTGACAACCCTTTTACTAGTTGGCTGTGTCGGGTGGTGGCGGGTTTAACGACACATTGATATATTAACGCGATCTAACCCAATAAAAAAAACTTGTATTGTAGATGATATTGGTATAACACTACATGTTAATCTGATCAATGTAAATACACCGTCTTTACGTTTTTATAACTCGTATTGAGAAACACCGCGAGTGTCGTCTGTCGCATCCGGCTTCACCCAAGGGCTTCATTTCAGCCGGAGCTGTCCGGGGCTGAACGCCGGAAAACACTCCCCTCCCCCTGTCCACAACCTCCCGGGAATTGTTGGCTGGCCTTCGCGTCCCGGATAAAATAAAATAAAAATTACCAAAAAAATACGACTTTCAATTTATATCGCGTCACTCACGCTCACAACCACTCGTATTAAGCCCTCGTGGTTTCCATCGTTAATGCACCCGCCTCTGTGTGGGCCACAATGGGCGTATAGTAGTGGGGAGCGGTGGTGCAGCGGTTAGCGCTACGCTGCGCTAGAGACCTGGCAAACCCGGGTTCGATTCCCGCTCACGGCCAACACCGGTGACGATTATCTGAACTGGTCCCGGACCTCCCCTAGGTCGACTCAGCCTCAAATGAGTACCCCGGTGCGATGTGTAAACATCGCCACTGGGGAGACAAAGGCGGTCGGGCGTGGTGCTGGCCACCCACCCCCTCGTGTGCCGTCCCGGTCTTCATAGTTGCTCGCTAACAGCACTTGCCCCTACAGTCTGTTACAGGCTATACGGGGATCTTTGTCTTTTGTCTGTGTATAGTAACCACCAGCACATGTGTTGTGTGGGTGTATACAGAACCATGATGCAGCATCCCGTGCAGACGCGTGCGGTGTTGTGTGGAGCAAAGTGCGCGCACATCAATGGGTCCACGCGTACGAATGTCCGACTCTCACACAGACACACGCCCGCCGGTGTAGCCTTGGCAATGCCTTTCAGACAAGCGCTGTTAGCGAGCACCTGCGAAGGCCGGCACGGCACACGAGGGGGGTGTTAGGGCCAGCAACCACGCCCGGCCGCCTTTGTCTCCCGAGTGGCGATGTTTACGCGCCGCACAATGTACGGTGCTCATTTGAGGCTGAGTCCACCTAGGGGAGGTCCAGGACCGGTTCAGATAATCGTTGCTGGTGTTGGCCGTGAGCGGGAATCACAAGCGCTCCCCCCACACACATGCACACACACACACAGCGTCACACATGCACACACACACAGCGTGACACACACACACAGCGTGACACATGCACACACACACACACAGCGTGACACACTCACACACACACACAGCGTCACGCATGCACACTCACACACACACACAGCGTCACACATACACACTCACACACACACAGCGTGACACACTCACACACACACACAGCGTCACGCATGCACACTCACACACACACACACAGCGTGATACACACACACACACAGCGTCACGCATGCACACTCACACACACACAGCGTCACACATACACACTCACACACACACAGCGTGACACACTCACACACACACACAGCGTCACGCATGCACACTCACACACACACACACAGCGTCACACATACACACTCACACACACACAGCGTGACACACTCACACACACACAGCGTGACACATGCACACACACACACAGCGTGACACATGCACACACACACACAGCGTGACACATGCACACACACACACAGCGTGACACTCACACACACAGCGTCACACATGCACACACACACACACAGCGCGACACATGCACACACACACAGCGTGACACACACACACAGCGTGACACATGCACACACACAGCGTGACACACTCACACATACACAGCATGACACATGCACACACACTAACACACACAGCGTGACACATGCACCCACACACACAGCGTCACACATGCACACACACACAGCGTAACACATGCACACACACACAGCGTGACACATGCACACTCACACACACACAGCGTGACACATGCACACTCACACACACACACAGCGTGACACATGCACACACACAGCGTGACACATGCACACACACAGCGTCACACACACACACACAGCGTGACACATGCACACACACAGCGTGACACACACTCACACACACACACAGCGTGACACATGTACACACACACAGCGTGACACATGCACACACAGCGTGACACATGCACACACACACACAGTGTGACACATTCACACACACACACAGCGTGACACACACACACATAGCGTCACACATGCACACACACACAGCGTCACACATGCACACACAGCGTGACACATGCACACTCACTCACACACTCACACACACAGCGTGACACATGCACGTACGGCTAAGAGAGAGAATAGAGCGAGAGAGAGAGAGTAGCGCCACACTCACACAATGCTGGGCAGCACGCGGGCGTGGCGGACCCACGCAAGGCGCCTTTCGCTCCCTTATCTCGCCCGTGCATCCTTTTCCGTGGGCAGCCTGGCCCAGTCCAACAGCACCACCAGCAGCACCACCACCACTAACGCCGCAGAGAGAGAGAGCGCGCGTGCGAGCGACGTTATAATAGAACGAGCGAGAAGGCGCAAAGGGAGAGAGAGAGAGCGAGAGATGCGACGAGGCGACACGGCCAGAGAGGGAGAGAGCGATAGAGAGAGGGGGGGTGGAGGGGGGTGGCAGATCGGTGGCGTCGTTTTGTATTCGTGGTGCGAGCGAGCGAGCGGTGTCGGTCGGCAGAACCCCCGGACAGACACGGCGCGCGCGCGCGAGACGATGAGAATCGCTGGACAAAGAGCTTCGCGTTAAAGGAGAGGGGGTGGGGGTGCAAGGGGGGGGGTCAGCTACAGCGCTATCAGTGGGGGGGGAGGAGGGGGGGGGCTAGAGTCGCTGTCAGTGCGGCACGCGGCAGCGTCATCCGTGTCACGCGCGTGGTGTCGTACGGCACCCGCGAGCTATCGCCTCTTGCTCGTCTCGCGTTCTGCTTCTGCTTCCCCGCCGTGAGAGAGGGACTACGTCTTCGGAATTAGCCGGCGTCTCTGCGAAGTGGTATAGGCATCATCGCCACTACCACCGCCACCGCCGCTGCCACCGCCGCTGCTGCTGCTGCTACCGCTCCATCAGCACTCCTCACACACCGTGCCCCACCAAACCTCACGGTGTATCTCATCGCATCGGCTCAACCTTCAACTGCACGGTCGCGTCGTGGTCGTGGTGGATGGTGGTGGTTGTTGTTGTTGGTGGTGGTGGTGGTGGTGATTCGAGGGGTAATCTCCATTCCGCGGCTTAGACGCATCATCGGCGTCGCTGCTCCACTCCGGCTCGCCAAATGGACAAATCACTTCGCACGTTTGCAACTTTCCAACGCGGCCGCCGAAGTGGCACGTAAAATATACCGACGGTGCGATCTTCCGACTCCACGGTGGAAACCCCATACGGACGATAGGACAATCATTGCCGGAGTCGGCTGGAGCTGTGGTGGAATTCACGGCTTTTGGAACGATGACACCTTGATCTCAATCAAGTCGAGGAAAGGAGGTGGGTGGGTGGGTGGGTGGGTGAGTTTGGTGGGCAGGAGCGGTCCCAAACATCGAGGTGCGCGTCTCATCTCTGGTCAAACCTCTGGTCTAGTGACACCGACCGACCGCCACCATGGGCTGCATCCAGAGCCTCATCTGCAAGCCGCGGCGCCTCCGCCGAGAAAACATCGTGGTGGAGGAGTTCTCGGCCACGATCGACTCCACGCCGACCGTAGTTGAGGAGTCGTCGCCCATCGTGCTGCGCTACAAGACGCCCTACTTCCGTGCGTCGGCTCGACTCGTCGTGCCCCCGATCCCGCCGGGACAGACGTGGGTCGTGGGCTTCGTGCAGGCGTGCGACCACATGGAGTTCCACAACGTCTACGGAGAGCTGGGAATGTACGTCGCGAATTCACTTAGCGCGCGTGCAATTAACGCGATCCTGGGATGTGGAAGGGTGGGGTGGTGGGTGAGATCCATCATCGTGCGTGCCCTATTCTTCCCCGCACACCCACACACCCATCCCCCCCCCTCTCCTCCCCCCCAAAGGTATGTTGCTGAGGTTCAATCGTTCACCGATGGACAGTCGCCTACTTATCACTCTCACATCGCGCTTACCATCACTCTCTCTTCGATCGCTATTACCGCGGTTACTGTTCCAGTGAACGTAATCATTGCTCGAGTCACTCGCTTACAGACGGATAATCGCCTCCTTATCACTCTACTATCGCTATTAGCCTGGCGACTGTTCACCATACACAGTGAATATTATTTGACTCCTCCACTAATGTTCAGGGATCAGTCGACCAGACTTTTTTCGTCTCATCCACCACGCCGTGTTTAACCACCACACTGCAGGTCACAACAACTCACTCACTCACTCACCCAATCACTCACCCACACTCTCACTCACTCAATCACTCACCCACACTCACTCACCCAATCACTCACCCACACTCTCACTCACTCACCCAATTACTCACCCACACTTCCACTCACCCAATCACTAAACCACACTTTCACTCACTCACCCATTCACTCGCCCACACTCTCACTCACTCAATCACTCAACCACACTCTCACTCACTCACCTAATCACTCACCCACACTCTCACTCACTCACCTAATCACTCACCCACACTCTCACTCACTCACCCAATCACTCACCCACACTCACTCACTCACCCAATCACTCACCCACACGCTCACTCTCTCACTCACACACTCACTCACCACACTGCTTCTCTCTCGATTTATTCCCGCGCACTGCTCCTCTTTGAAAACCCCTCCGCACGTAATCGTCTCTTTCCTCCCCCCACCGAGTTCTTATAGAAGAATAATAACCTAGCGCAATTCAAGAAGCGCATTTACTCTCTCTCTCTCTGCTATTACAACTTCAACAGTGCTGCTTGTTACTGGCCGATTGTCGTTGTGGACCTTTGGGCAGTGTTCCCAGCGACCGTGATTCATATTTTTTTTTTGTTCAGTGACAATATTCACCGTGACTCGTGCGCTCTTGGTCCACCCGCAATGGTCAAATGCTCACCCGAATGTGTCCGTGTTGTGAGACAAATCCCATTGACAACTTTAGGCGATACCAGCGTTCGCGATAGTACACATCTACTGTGGCGAGATGTTAACTACCTCGCCTGGTGTACATGGAGGTCGTGAGTTCGATCCAGACCCTGACGCCTGCTGTATATTTGGAGTTTGCGTGTCTATCTCTCGTCATCATCACGGTGGCTATGAGATGTTAACTACCTCGCCAGGTGTACAGGAGGTCGTGAGTTCGATCCCGACCCTGACGCCTGCTGTTTATTTGGAGTTTGCGTGTCTCTCTCTCATCATCATAATCACGGTGGCTATGAGATGTTAACCACCTCGCCTGGTGTACACAGGAGGTCATGCGTTGGATCCCGACCCTGACGCCTGCTACTGGTCGCGTGGATTTGTCTCCGGGTCCTTCGGTTTTTCTCCTCCACATTTAGAATCGTCGTCACGCGCTTAGAGGATTTGGCTGCTTTAAATTTCCACGTGATAAGCCACTTCGTTGAGCTGTCATTTGTATAGCTCTTTTTCAGAAGCCAGGTCGCTTCTGAAAAAGAGCTATACAGCTCAGTGAGCCTTAGCTGGTAAAATAAAAAAAAAGGTTTTTAGTTTATAAGCTTTGCACTGCGAACATTTCCACCAGCAGTGGTGTTGAGCAAGCCGTTGCGGGGGCTGAACATGTATCCTTTATACTGAACACTTTACTTGTTTAGGAGATGGTGCGGTGGGAATTATCGGGTTTTACTTTGCAAAATGAGATCTCATTCTCGCTCAGGCCTCCCGTGACAAAGAGAGCCCGTGGTCTCACTGGGTTGCCAGCTGGTCAACGTGGTGCATCGTATCATGAAGGAAGAGAAACATGATTCTAGATTTGAAGTTTTCGTGACTGCAAGGATTAATACTCTTTGGTTCTTTCGGTAAAGTCACGTAGGTGAAAATAAATAAAATTAATATAAACAACTAAATTAGATCACAAGTAAGAGAAGCATGGTCAGCATGTTCAACTATTATTTTCTGTTGTTGTTGTTGTTGTTATTTTTTTCCGATTGTTTACCCAGCAAAGCCTCACCGAGTCTCAAGACTGTTGTCAAGGAGATTCCTGCCAAGTTTGCATCGTATGGGAGGGCGATGGATCGTTGTGCATAATTCCCATTTTAGTGATTGGCAGGAATGCTTGTATAAGCACGGGGATGTTTGGCCAATAGCAGTTACATTGCACGGGTCGTTGTTTTTTGTTAGCTATGCGACGAAACCAGGGCACCCCAAACGTAACCCATGCTGAAAATGGAGAGAGAGAAACACATCAACTCCACGGAGAAAGCCAACCGAGTTGGGGATCGAACCCAGTCCCTTCTGTCTGTGAGGCACCAGTGTCATCACTGCACCGTCAACCCTGTCGCCCTCTCTGTATATAGACGAACTTTCACTGTTGTGTAACCCAACGCTCGAGTCTTCATACACACGCCCACTTGACTTCAGGCTACACTATTGAAGCTACACTATATATTCCGTGCGAGTAATCCAGAAGCGGAATTAGCTTGCTACCCACCAGCTTTAACGGCACTCTGCCCGCTGGAGGTGAATTACTCGATACAATGAAGATTAGGGTTTGTATGTATTTGTAAGTGTTTACCACGAAACTTAAAGCAATGAATAACGCTTTGCTGACTCGGTCATGTAGGTGACGACGATCCAGCTCCAAGCCATATTATTTGGGGGCTAAAATTAGAACACTTTTCGTTTTAGAATTGATCTTAGTTATAAGCGTGGTGGCCTCAACCATATTCGCGTCAATTAGTTGCTTCTTAGACATGCTAGCACATCACTAGAATGTTGCATTGGTCACTCAATCATGGTTGTCCGTAAGTAGTGAATGCGAAATGCGAAAACATTGTCATACCTCAATTATTTACCCACAGAAGTCTGAGCGAGTGCTGAAGACACTTTTATTTCCACTACGAATGCCATGCTTGAGTTATCGGGCCAATTCCTTTTTGAGATGTTTATTCATAGCATCATCGTGTGGGTGAATTATGGCAGCAATATAATTATTATTTTAAATACCACACCAACAAGCGACATTACGTTTTGGTCAAATCACTCTCCCCCATGGACCAAATATCGTGGAAAAGGCCTTCATCCAGCAGTGGACTAACATAAAGCTGTACATTGTAAAAGGCGAGGCACCTTGACAATTCCATATCAAGTAGCCAGCAGCACAGACTTAAGGAATACATTTCTTTAAATTGCCAAGAACAAAAAAAAGGTATTTCCGCTTGAAAAATATGACTCGGGGCCACGTTGGCTATGAGATGTTAACTACCTCGCCTGGTATACGGGAGATCGTGGGTTCAATTCCGACTCTGACGCTGGTGTATTTGGAGTTTGCGTGTTCTCCACGTGGTCGCGTGGGTTTTTCTCCGCGTCCTCAGGGTTTTCTCCTCCACGTTTAGAATCGACACGTATTTAGTGTTTGGCTGCTATAAAATGCCACGTGATAAGCCACTTCGTTGAGCTATGAATTGCAGCCAGGTTGCTTCCGAAAAATAGCTGTACAGCTCAGTGGTTCTTACCTGGTAAAACAAATAAATAAAATAGTTTTTAATTCGTTAATATGAAGCAGGGTTTCTGACTCGCGTTTTCGGAGCACCTGGGTTACACTTCAAGCGACGAGCTTTGGACTTAGACGAAAATAAACGCGCAGGCGGACTTCTTGTTTAATGACACCATCGCCGTGTCTCAAAACTCCACTTCACAGGAGAGATGGCGCTGGACATGAGGCGGACTTGAGCAAAAGCTCGGGGCTCCAAGCGGTCATCTTAAAAGCCGAGTAATTATATTCTTGGTTCTTTACCGAAAGAACCAAAAATATGACTCCCTGCAGTCACGAAAGCTTTAAATCGAAATTAGCCGAGTAATTATTTACAAGCCATTGTGAGTCCCTCGCTGGGTGACGGCCTCTCCGCACAGTGCCGAATATGGGGGCTCGTTTGACCATACTTCACCACTCCGCGAGCTGGTGAATTGTGTGGGGGTGGATCGGGGTAAGTGGGGGGGGGGTGCTCGAAAGAAGCACTTGCCCCAGAAGTCTGTTAAAGGCTGCACAGGGGATCTTTGTCTTTGTGGCGGTGGTGGGGGGTGGGGGGAAGTGCACAGAAGTCGATTTAGATCAAATATCACTCACACATCAACAAAAAAGTGCACACATGTTCTTTACAAGTGCAATTCTGTTGACACCGAGCGCCACGTTTTGGGTGCGTCTTGCAACCAGAGAATACGGCAACATTTAGATTGCCACATAGGCTAATTCAGCTGCGATAGACGCTTGCATCACCTTTGCATATACAGTACTTGGCTGTGTTGGTAGAGAAGAGGCGGACACGCTCCGGCATGCTCGCGAGAGCGCACAGCGCAAAACCGTACGGCGCGTTAAAGAACGCACATCGCTAATGCAGATCAATCAATAGGGCAGAGAGGGATCAATGCTGCTTGGCAGCTGATCCACCAACGAGGCTTGACCTCCACTCTCGATTGACCGATCAGATTTGCCGGAACGTTGTCGCGCCGGGGCAAAAGGCGATGCATTTCAGCACCGCGGAAAGTTACCCCCGAAGTAGGCGCTACCCCTTTGAATCGAGGCTACATGCACTCTGGTATCACAAGTGCCACGTGGGCTATAATTAATAATTCTAGATTTGAAGCTTTCGTAACTGCAAGGATTCATACTCTTAGTTTTTTCGGTAAAGTCACGTAGGTAAAAAATTAAATTAAAATTAATTAAAAAATGAAATTAAAAATAGTTTTAAAAAAATATTTAATTTTTTCTTAATTTTAATTTCATTTTTTTATTA